CAAGCATCTAACCAAAAACACTTTCAAAAAACCATTGACTTTAAGACGAGGGAATCGTGAGTGGTAAAATGCGAACTCATTTACGGGTTTGAGGGCTCATTCATCCATCTCTCTATTAGAAAATGGAGAAAACAATAAAAGCAAAACACATTGAGTTATCGCAAAGAACTCCCAGAATAGGAAGGACGTTTTCTTCCATTGGGAAAAATGATGAAAGGATGCTGAAAAGTACGCAGACACAACACGTGTCAATCATCAGGCCATCATTAACATTTTCATTTGTGACCTTTTTAGAGATGAGGTAATATCCTGAATATGCCTACAGGTTTTTATCATCCGCAAAATCAAATGTGTCTGTGACCATCAATCACTTTCTGCCTCACATGGGTCAAATGCCACAGGCTTTGCTAGCATGCTAAGCTAATGTGGAATGATGTTAGTGAGATGGTTGAAGGTCTTATGTCATCCGATCAGGGTGGGCTTAAGTCAGGTGGTGCAGTGGTCGTGTGAGAGGTCAGAGGTCGGGTCAGTGTGTCTGTTGTGTTGCCAGCACTCATTCATCCAGACAACAGCTGAGCACTGGAAAAGTTCTCAAGGTCACTCCGTGTTTGTGTTACTGATCCATTTTTTTTTAATGCAGAGAAAGCTCAGGGTGTTAAAACACACATGGGAATGTGGAGCAACATCTCAATGTGAATCAGCGCCATTTTACTGAACAGGACCACAATTAACACATTTTATTATTATTTATTAAAAAATACAACAAGTACTCCAGTGTGCATGCATCAAGAAAAACGACACATCAATGTTGTGTTCTAAAACATCTCCAAAACATTGAAGATTGAGACGAGAGTGGTGGATTTTGTATCCGTTGTCTACCTGTGTAATGTGTCAACACTGTGTTTTTCTATTTTTGCAATGTTAAACATTGTCACTTGCATGTTGAGTTACTTTAATAACCTTTAAGACATTGAATCTAAACTCAGATTAAGATGAACGTTGCAAAATTAAATTAAATTAAATCTGCACTAAGTGAGTTTTTGGCCTCTGGGTGCTTTGGAAAAGGCTAAAGAAAGATTGTTTGACTTCACTCTTAATATTCATTTGAATTGTAACCACTTTAGATGTGTGGCAAATAGCAAACCATTGCCATTCTTACTGATGACATACTGTATATATAGCTTACTAGCTTACTACATTTAGTTATGCAATTTGGTACTGGAGTGGTTACATACAGTGGGGAGAGCTTACATTTAAAAAAAAGAAGAAAGAAATTGCTTGGTTAATGAGTCTCGAAGTTTTTCAAACCAAAACAACGAGCAAACATTGTTTAGCTGCCAGATGAAGTTCATTTTGTCCTCATCTTTTAGGTTTGATTTGGTTTCCACCAACTCCTCTTTACATTACATGTTGGACGCTTTTATCCAAAGCAACTTACTGTGGGCAATCCCCACAGGAGCAATTTGGGGTGAAGTGTCTTGCCCAGGGACACAACGACATGCAGTGGGGTTTGAACCTGTGCTCCCCTGATCCGAACACCAACACACTAGTCCACTGCGCCACACGCCTTTACTTTCCTAACGGGCCCTTTTTAAAATCTTGCTAGCTTACCTTTCACCCTACTTAATAGATGTTGATGTTGTTTGTCTGCCATTTGGAGTTAGGCTTGTAGCTTAGAGTGGGTTTAATGAAGCTGACTTTTTTGAACAATGGTGGCTAGCTCTCCGTAGGTTTGTCACTATTACCAACACCATGACACCAAACAACTCCTAAAACATTCATGCTTAAAATGGTTAAATCAAAGACATCTGTAGACGCAGCATTCTTTCCAATGACATTAATAAAAGGCCACCCAGTCATTTACACCCATGCCCTCTTGTCCTGATTGTCGCTGCTATCAGACTGTTGTCCGGAGTTTTCCTTAACTGGAGTGACCTGCTTTCTGACGGCCACAGGTGTTAGCATCCTGGAGTTTGTTGGTGGTCCTCTCTCAGGACGAGGGGACTGCGGAGGTCTCAGTTGGCTGTGGAGGACAAAGTGAGTTGGTATCGGAGGGCTCGTCTCAATCTCACCCTCTTTGTTCTCTGGACTCTTGTCATTAGCGGTTCCATTATTCACCTTTTTGTGAAGAGGTTCGCCGTTTGGCACCGCATGTCTTTCATCTTTAAAAGCGTTCTTTGAGCTTTCACAGCGACTGCTTTTCCTGGTTATAACAACATCGCTGTCTTCAGTTGTAGATGTTGTTGTGAACACACTGCTTTGCTCTCCTTTACTCATCTCGTCCATCATCATGTCCCTGTGCCTTCTCCATCTCACCATGGCCTTCATGGAGCTCATCAGATCAACCAAACTTAGCAGAATGGACAAGGAGGCAACACCCAGCATGAAGTTCAGCATTAAAGTCTTCTCCGTAGGTTTGGAGATGTAGCACTCAACCCCAGAGTTGCAGGGAGTCTCATAACACAGGAACCTCTTAGGAACGGACAGACCGAAGAGAAGAAACTGGCCTGCACCGAAAACCATTTCTAGAAGGATCCGTAGAATAACAACCAGGAAGTAGGTGCAGTAGAAGCGCGGCGCTCCAACATCATGTGGCAGGTCGTGAAGTGGAGCTTTGTGCAAGGACACTTCTCTCGAGGAGTTCTCGAGAGTAAAAGGTGAACCTCCCGTCTTCCTGTCGCAGTAGAAACCTCCAAAATGGGGGTTTGACCCAACGTTATGCATGACGTAGGTTGCAAACAACACATGGGGAAGACAGAGGAACATGAGGTGGAAGAACCACAGACGGAAGATACACACCGGAGCAAACGCATCGAAACACACGTTGGAGCAGCCCGGCTGGATGGTGTTGCAGACAAATGTCTCCTGTTCGTCACTGAAGAGCGTGAAACCCGCCAGAAGGACGACAGGAAGACGTAAAACCAGCATCAGCATCCACCAGGTCTTTCCTGTGATGGAGACAAAACGATACAATGAGAAAGAGATTTGGTGAAGATGAGAAATCGTAATGATGTCGTTGTGGAAAAGAGGACAGTAAATACTTGAAGTGTGATTATTTACAGTTACATGAGAGTGTAGTCTATAACAACAAAGACATACGACAGAGAGAGAAACTAAGGGACAAGTTTCACTTCAGACAATCAAGAAAATACTTCCAGCACCTGTCAAAATATATTGGTGTGGTATATTGTGCCATAATTAAGATAAATGCAATTAAAAATGCTTTCATGTATTTTGATTGGATTGAAAAAATGACGTCCACCAGGTCTTTCCTTTGATGGAAGCAACATTTTTATTGTCAGAGTTTATAGATTTGTTATCTTGACAGCCTACTGTAAACTTCTTTCTTTCGGCCTTCTTGCTTTAATTCTCTTTTGAGATGTTTAAATTCTAGTATTGTTTATTTCTACTTGTGTGCAATGCCTTGTTTTGTTTTGTTGTTTTTTATGCTGCTGCAAACTTTTCCCAAATTGCGATCAATAAAGTACCTCTTATCTTAACGTGACCAAATAATGAGCGCCAGAGTCAGTGAAGATGAGAAATCCTAATGAGGTAGTTGGGCGGGAAAATAAGACAATGAATACTTGAAGTACGATTATTTACAATTACATGGGAATCATGGCAAAATGAAAGAGAGAAAAACTAAAAGGGGCAAAATGTCACTTTACTTGAAAAATAAAATCATGAAAATGCAAGAAAATACTTCGAGCTCCGGTCCAAATATATTGTTCTCATGGTATATCGTACCATAAATAAGATAAATGCAATTAAATATGCATTGAAAACAATTACTTTTGATTGGATTGGAAAGGGAAAGTAAATGTTTTATAGATGTATTAAGTGTTTGAATCGACAGCTCTTTACAAATACTTCGGTTTCGGTAAACTATTACTGTAATAATAATACATTATATTTTTATAGGGCTTTTCAAGGACTCAAAATCGGTTTATAATATAAGGGAAGGTTACGGTGGGGGGGTATAGGACTATCAAACTTGATCAACCGGCATGGATTGATGGGGGGTGGGCTATAAGTAGACAAGAGGAGTTTTGAAAAGGGACTGGAATACTGTTAAAAAGACATTTCTTAATCATCATATTCTGAACTACAAAAAGGACTTACCCATAAAAGAGACGTTTTGACTGATGGTGATGAAGAGTAGATCTCTGGCCCCCAGCATCCTGATTGTTCAGCGCTAACCCAAATTCAAAATGCCAATGAACCAAAACTCTTCAGCTCTGTAACACAAATCAGAGTCCAGCAGAGGTTCCTGAGCTGCTCTCCTCTTCAACACGGCTCCAGATCTTCAGCTGAACTCTGAATGCAGTCACCTCAGATGTTGTGTTACTGTGTTCTGCCTGCAGAGAGCTATTCTTACCGCCTGCTATCAAAGCATTGTTGGGATGTCAGAGTCCCAGTCAACCTTACTGGAAGCTGAGGATCAGACGCAGGCACGCCGGTATCAAACAGGTGCGACAGCTACATGAGTCAATATCTAATTAAGGTAACATTCAGATCCAATAGAGGACATTTTTAGGAAAAGCAGCTTATGTAAATGCACAAAGGTCTTCAATAACACACTTTTAGACAAGGGCTTTTCTTTGATCACACACACATAAATAAATCACAATGAACACGTTCCCAGTTTTTCAACTCTTTATACGTTATACAAAGTTAATTTGCAAAATAAGTATATTTTAGTGCTTCAGTTTTCACACAAATGAGGGAAAGAAAACATGAAAACCTGCAGATATTTGCCAATAGCAATAAGATGGAAATAAATGTACGATGGAATTACAAAATACCAGTTTCAACACTTGGCTCAGCAGTTAGCGTTTCATAAAATGACCCTCATTGAAAAGTGAATTAAGAATATCTCATTTTGTCCAAATAATGTGTGATTCTGGGCTTTCAAGGCAGTCTTTGTGGTTCACCCTATAGTGCCTTATTTCTATTATTTTAGTAATCTTAATTGTTTAGGGCAGACAACATGGATTTGCAACATGATTAATTGGTTGTCAAACACTAAAGAAAGCAGATTAATGGACGTTTATGTTTGTGACATCTACAGGCTGTTATTGAACGACTGTGTGACCAACAATAAACCCCCGGCTGGAAACATGGGAGAAGTTTATTTTGGGATTTGTGATATTTTACGGTCTTATATTACACATCACACCCACATTACCACAGCAGTCTTTTATCCATAGCACTGGAAGTTAACTTTTTCTTAAATCTTTTCTGAGTGTCCATTTATAAAAAAATTAAAAATTAAAAATTAAAAAAAAAATCATACAATGGTGGACATCTCAGGGAGTAAGGAATATCTCTGTCTGTTTATCCTGATGCATTTTTAGGTGTAGGAGCCAAATGTGAGGTCGATTTTTTTTCTATTATGTGGTATTTTTAACTAATCACTTGTGGTTTTGCATGTTAGAGAGAGGGGGGTGAGTCTGGTGGTGAAATGTTTTGGTTATCCGCATTTCTACTGCATACTCTTTCGCAATTTGTACCGTACTTTCCTACCATTTCTCATCACAATCAGCCATCTAACTTGTACTACTACCACCGATTGGACTGTATTTTTGACTGTGTCCTTGCAATAAATGGTGAAACGAACATAAGGATTGGAGCAGTTTTGTTTGAGTGTTTAAAAACAATGGGGAAAGTTAGAGAAACCACCTTATCAAGACAAGACTGCATGCATAGATGTACTGAAGTCTTTCAATATAAGTTAACTTTCCAGGTACTGTGTAGATGTAATGCACGGTAATACTGAATAATTGAAAACAACACAATGTCCTGTGTTTTAAAGTAACAGTATATTTTGGTGCTTGATACATTTGTAAGGTGTAAAGTCACCCTGCATTAGTATAAATATCTATTCCAATACATACCGCTATAAAAATGGTATCTGGGTAAACAAAACTAATCTCAAATCCTCAAATGTCCACTAGATGTCAGCAGTGAGGTGTGCTTACTCTATTCAAAGCTTATATTGGGCATCTAAATTTGAATTGACTGAAACTGCTAAAACGTCTTGTAATAATCATGTTAATATATAACCAGAGTCTGATGAGTACAGAATCAGAAACTCTGGAAAACAGGTTATATTTCTTGCTATACAGGCCAAGAAAATGTGGTAGTTTGATTATTAATGTCCCTAAAATAGGAAAATATCACAAGATTATATTAATTCTGTCCTCCACAATATGTAATTTGTCACTTTCAACCCTATATGGGAGCATCACAATAGATTAAACGGACTACCTGAGTATCGGAAGGTACACTACAAACACTGTAAACCTTGAATATACATATTGCCAAAGGAGAAAACTTGCTAACACTTTAATTATTCTAAGTAATAAATAATAAGTCCAGTGCTACACTACTGGAACTCTGCAGGTGCTATGGGTTCAGGCAGAAGTCCACGTATAATCAAAGTCAAATAAATAGTATGCTTCGTTGTGAAGATGCACGGCCATTCTCAAAGGCAGGTTATGTCAAATGTTTTAAAATAGGCCGGACACAAAACTGAACAGAGTGCCGTGTCCCAGGAAGAATGAGGCTTTTTGAGTCCAGGACGTTCCAGGTGGGTCCAAATAAATGTTTCCCACAGATACTATAACAGTCAGGAACTTCTCTTTCATTATCAAGAGAGCTGAGGCACTGAGAAAAACTCAAGAAAACATCCGATGTGGTTCCACTTTCTTGCCTCCACTCAAGCAAACCAAATCCCACCGTCTTGGTATCATCTGTAATCCAAAGTAAAGTTCTTGTGAATAAAACCATGTTGGTATATTTCGCCCTCGTGAGTTTTTTCACCCAGCCGGTGCTCCTGCAGCCTGATGCCAGTGTTCAGATTCATATTGGTTAGGAGAGGATAGCAGGAACCCATTTGATGCCACATAGATTGTCCGTGCTGGAGGAGCGCTTTTTGGCAGCTTTCCGGACGTCCTTGTACCGGTCATCACACAGCCGGGAGATAGCCTGAAAAGAGGACAGGGATTGTTTTTATTAACACTAGAACCGCCAGGGGTCGCTGTATACCTAAAACCGCCAACGGGTCAAATGTACCCGCTAATAGAATGCATTGATTTTCAAGGTACAATGTTCTTTTATTTAT